GCACAAAGGGTGAAGTGGTGCACCTACAACATGACTGACAAACATTAATGTACAATTGAAATTTCACAAGATTGTAACCTATCAATAACTCAATAAAAAAAATAATAATAATAATAAAAAGAATGGAAATATTTTTGTTCGTTTTGTTGAGAAAATAAATTTAGGGGCCAGCCTCGTGGCTGAGTGGTTAAGTTCACACGCTCCACATCAGCTGCCCAGAGTTTTGCCAGTTTGGATTCTGGGTGTGGACATAACACCATTCATCAAGCAGTGCTAAGGTGGCATCCCACGTAGCAGAGCCAGAAGAACCTACAACTAGAATATGCAACGATGCTCTGGGCGGCTTTGGGGAGAAGAAGAAAAGAAGGAAAAAAAGAAGACTGGCAACAGATGTTAGCTCATGTTCCAATCTTTAAAAAAGAAAAAGAAAATAAATTTGCCTTAAAGCCCTAGAAGGGAAAAAAGAAGGCATGGGACAAATTCTGAGTGTAAAAAGAAAATTATAGAAGATTTGTGAAAGAGAAAGCCTGAAAAGAGTTTTATGCATGGTCAAGTTAGCTAAGATTGCAATAAATTTAATTAGGTGAATGAGCTTTAACATAAAAAGTAAGCTGGTACAAAATTAAAATTTTGTCCTTTTTTTTTTTTTTGAGGAAGATTAGCCCTGAGCTAACTGCTGCCAATCCTTCTCTTTTTGCTGAGGAAGACTGGCCCTGAGCTGACATCTGTGCCCATCTTCCTCTACTTTATATGTGGGATGCCTACCACAGCATGGCTTGCCATGCAGTGCCATGTCTACACCCAGGATCCGAACCAGCAAACCCCAGGCTGCCAAAGCAGAACGTGCGGACTTAACCACTGCAGCACCAGGCCAGCCCCTGTTCTCTCTCTTGGGATAATTTCCCCAGACTTTTAGTCTGCTCTTGATAAAGAGCTTATAAAAGGTTTTTCTTTATTTTTGAGTAAGTTTACCTAAAAGACAGAAGATCAATGTTTTATTAAAATAATTTCCTATGTTCAATAATACTGAAGTCTCTCTATTAAGGTTTTCAAACTGTTTTAACTCCCTCATTGCCCTTGACTGTTTCTGTTGTCACTTTGATTGAATTGTTTTGCGGTGACTGTTGTTTCCTATTAGACCAAGTGTTTTAAAAAACTTTTGATATTTTTGACAAGCTTCTCTCAAAATTCAAATAATAAGTGAGGTCTTTCTTTTGACCTGAAGGGAAAAAAGTTTTCTTTAAGAATTTTCAGAGGCCCCTGGGACTACTCAAAGAAATTTGTTCTCTCTCTTCCTATAAAGAAAAAGGTGCTAAACTAATTAGGCTTATTTGGTATATTAAATTGCATGGGAAGCTTTATTAAATAAGTGATGATAAACCTTTTTAGGTGGTATTATGTGGATGTTATTAATATAAATGTTTTAAAAATTATATAACACTCCTAAAATTCTGATCTGTCCTGGTTGCCAGCCATAATTCTAGTTACTATCTTGAAGTGTTGTATGTCACAGAAATAGCCAAGTTTCTTTTTCAATTTCCCTTCTGAGTCTTTTGTCACTTGCAGATAGTTGCTGTTTTACTCTGATGCTTTTGCAAATATGTTTCATCTTCAGAGAGATTCATGGAAAAGACACTGACACTTACTCTAGAATACAGGTTTCTGATAAACTTTCAGATCATAAAACTGAACTGGGTAAGAAATTACAGAACTCTAATGGAGAAACTGATGACTTCATGAAACTGCTAACAGAAGGTTAAGAATCTATTACACAGGACCGAATGAACTGATGAGGGTGATTATAATTTATATAACTTTTTTGAGATATTGCTGATTTTTTTAATGTTTTTGGGTTTTTCCAGATTTTAGGAAACCTTTTTCTCTTTTCCTTAAGCTAACTGTGATTTATAACAATTTGGTAAAATTATACCTTTGTAGGCAAAATTGAAACATTCTTTTTTTTCTCCCTAGCTTATCCCTCCAGAATTCGGAAACCCTTAGTGAGGTGAGTGCTGTTTTCATGGCAATACAGTTACTTGCTTAAGTTCAGTAAGAATCTGTTCTCCTTATAACAGGACACAATTCATTATATTACCAAGCCTTTGACTGGAATGTCGTATTTGAGAGAAACATGCAGACTCAGATATGACAAGTCGGCTTTTGAAGAATAAAGGTCGACTTTATGGAATAAAGCCACCTGGAAATATTAGCCTGGTCTCTTAGTTACAGGATTCCAAGTGAGTAAAGAAGGTCACTTCCCTGACAGATGCAAAAGACCTCAGGATATTTGGGGAAACCTCAAAAAAAAAAGAGAGGAATTCACCGAAATCTATAGGTATTGCAGCCAAAGTCTGATGGCAACTCCTTGCTTTGGTTTTCCTGGCCTTGAGAGGCCAATAAATTTCAATCTGAGATTCCTTATAAAAAGTTCCAGGGGAGCAGATTTAAAACAACCTCTATAGTCAATTGCTTTTCTTGTTGTATTTATATAAATAATTGGGCCAATTTTATTAAACCTAAACTTATTGGACAAACCAACGAGTCTTAATTGGCCATCTTTGGTTAAAATGAAGGTGATTTAAAGACAAAAATTCTGTTTCAAATGAAACTATAGTACACATTCATGGATATTAGGTTCTAGTTCTGATACTTGTCTTTGAGGTTTTGTTTTATATCTATTAACTGGACTGGATCTTGAATTCTACTAGTCTCCTGAAATATCTGTCTACAAATCTCCAAACTAACATTTTCCATTTTTCCGTCATTTTCATTTAGAATCACTGAGAACTGAACCTGCCCTTTTTCCTGAAGCCCTACAAACTGAAGCTGGACATCTTTATATAAATTTTAGAGAGGGGCTGGCTTGGTGGCTCAGTGGCTAAGTGCACACATTCCACTTCAGCAGCCCAGGCTTCGCCAGTTTGGATCCCGGGTGCGGACGTGGCACCCCTTGAAAAGCCATGCTATGGTAGGCATCCCACATATAAAGTAGAGGAAGATGGGCATGGATGTTAGCTCAGGGCTAATCTTCCTCAAAAAAAAAAAAAAGGATTCATGTTGGTTGCTGTGTAAGCTGCTCTGAAAGATACCTGAACACCTAATGACATCATCAGAGACATTTCAAATTATAAAAGAGACCTCAACTCTGACATCTAGAAATTCTTTGACTGGCTGATCCCCGGGCTCAGAAACTGGTCTATAATTTGCACTGACCATTGACCTTGTTTTTCTTGTTGTTTCCCTAGAAATGCTTCTTATTAAATACCTGGTTTCTTGCTTACCCAATATAGGCCTAATTTTGGGAGCCCCCTCACATCACCTTGCTAAAAGACTGGTTTAATGAAATGGAACAACCTACGCCCTTTATCAGTAGGCGGAAGCCACAACAGTCATTGGTCTATGTCCCTTGAGATTGAGGAATGAACAACAAAAAGAGGGGATTTGTAGCTGCAGGCCCTCCAGCACCAGTTCAACTGACCCTCTCTCTTATCAACAGAGTGGTTAAGAATTGTCTTAATCTGCAAAGTTGCATCACCATGGCATGTGCAAAAGAAGATATCATGTCCTGAAATGACCTTGGAACCAACCCACAGAACCCAAGGACTGAGACATGACCAGAACTTGAAAGTCGGACTCTTATCAGAAGTGAGGGGTCCCTCATTCAGGAAGATCTGGTGTTAAAATTCCTTCCTCGCCTCATCAAAAATGTTTAGGACTCCATCCTAAATGTTTAGAACCCTATCATAAGTGTTTAAAACCTTACCATAAATGCTTGAAGCCCACCAATCAAAGCCTGTCCTACCAGTATTTCTGTGGACCAGCCCATGCTCCCTAACCTCTTAAATCTTACCCCAAATCCTGAATCAGGAATACAGATCTGAGGGTACATGCCACCTGTCTCCCTGAAGATTGATTTCACAGAATAAAAGCTGATTCTCCCCCAAAGGCTGATGCCATAATTAATTGGCTTGTTTATGCACATCAGGCAGAGAACTCCAATTTTGTGTGGTAATGTGACCTTTCAGATTTGTATTTTAGAGCCTGTTATCTCCATGAATTATCCTTGTAGAAAAAGCCTGCCCCTAGATACCTAGAGGCCTCACCTGCACTGGGCATCCTGCCATGAAAGCCTGGGCTGGGTCCCACTGGTCTTTCTCCATAAAGGACTCAGGAGCCTCAACCCACACCAGGAGCCTCTACAAGAAAGCTCTCAGTCTCCACCCAGCTGGCAACTCTCAGCAACTGGTGTCAGTGTGGAGGGAAGGTGGGAGCTCTGTGAGCTGGAAGAAAGTGCTGTTGAGACTCAAACTAGGTCTGTGAGTTGGGGGAGCCCTGATTCCAGCTCAGAGATATGTGGGGTTTAGGGCAAGGGGTCCTTGGCCTTTGAGTTTTTGTGGGACTGGACAAGGGTAGGGGGTGGGGTCGGGATAGAGAGAAAAACCAATGGTTGAAACCTTAACCATCATCTTGTTTTCCTTAGATTACAATGACCCCACTTGGCTTCCTGCTGTTTCACATTGTATTCACCAACCAGGAAGCTCTTTGAACTCCATCCTTTTGGGTTTTTATGGAGGCTTCATTACATAAGGCATGATTGATTAAATCATTGGCCATTGGTGATTGATTCAACTTCCAGCCCCTTTCCTCTTCCGGGGAGGGAGGCTGGGGGACTAAAAGTTCCAATCCTCTAATCAAATGGTTGATTCCTCTGCTGACCAGTTCCCACCCTTAGGTGACCTAGGGGCATTCCGAAAGTCACTTCATTAACACACAAAAGACATCTTTATCACTTAGGAAATTCCAGTGGTTTTAGGAGTTCTGTGCAGAAAATGAGGACAAAGAACAAACATATATTTCTTATTATAAATCACAATATCACAATCTTGAACCCCAAACTCCCTTTCAGTGTCTACTACCAGATAAGCCAATGTGAACACCAGCCCATGTATTAACATACATGTTATATTATAATTAGGTATGATGAGGCTAGTAGACAGAAATGTGGGCAATAGCTTTTATCGTGGTTTTCATAGGAAGGAACAGGTGAGGCAGGGTAAGCAGGCCTAGGATTGGCTAGTTTGAATAATTTCAGCAGGTCCTGGATCATAGGGCTGTCCCTAGTTGTCTGATACCTGATCCTGGGTGACTAGGGCAGGTGGATAGTGGCCTAGATTATAAGATCCCAAAAGACAGGTGGTTGGGGGTATGGGCCCTGGATTGCATATGAAAGGCACACTCACAACCAAGTTGCTTGCTATCTTTAGGAATTAGTTAACCTCCAGTCTGTCCAGTGTCAACAAGGCCCCAAGAAGTCAAAGCATTGTTACCTAAAGTTCAGTCTCTGAACTCAGTGCCAATCCAAATAATGAGAACAGAGTTTTGGGTGAAAAGGAAAGCAATCCAGGCAAAGGGAGCAGCAGCAGGCTAGCACCTTAGGAACTGCTGGCTCCCCGTCAAGAAGTGGGTCAGGGGTTTTATAGGGGAAGTCCAAGAGTCCAGTTCAGGGCTACGTGCCAAAAGGCACATTTTTCTTTCCTGCTGGTGGTCTTCAGATTGCTGGGCAGGTGCCAGACCTTGTCAGCTGACACAGATATTTTTCTTCTTTATGGCCAGAGAGATGCAGGACACGAGAACCAGACCCCTTTGTTGCAAGATGTTATCCAGACTCCCTGGAACCAGCATTATTCTTAAGTCCTAAGGGAGGGGGAGAGTAAGCAGAGAAACATGAGGAAGGAAAAATTATACCTACTTTGAATTGCCAGCCTCAGTTGCTGGGAAAGTTTCACTTCAGATAAGGAAGACATTGCTAGTCAGGTTGTTATTTAACCTGTATACTTCTAATTCAGATAGAAAAAGCCAGTAACCGCATCAGAAAATAAAAGGAATGATTAGTACGGCCTCACTCCCATAGACTGAGTTAGATGCACCCTGAAAACACTTGTATCATCAGATTTATTAAACTCCATTGTACCAATTGTTTTGTTGGGTTTTGCCTTTAGATAGAGTTCTTGTGGATAAAGATTTTGCCTCCATTTTTGTATTCTCAGCTCATAGTACATTGCCTTGCCTGGAGCTTCCCAGCTCCTGTATCATAGCCCCTTGACATGGGATAAACAGGGTACAGGTGTCCCAGGAGATGCTGATGGTTGCAAATTTTTTGTAGTGATACAAAACCCGAAACCATGTTTTCACCACCATTTAAATTTTTACTTCAGTTAAAATTATATTTGATCATTATTTGTATGGCTTCCTCTGTATACTTCCTATATTCACTTATTACTATCTTGACAAAAGACTTCAGACATAATGCCCACCACCAGAGAGTGTTCTCTGCTGGTTACACCAAGAAGAACCTCCCCCAGGAATAACATGCAAATATTATCCTTTTCTGTGTGTGCCAGGATGCAAAGGTTTGGAAGCATTGGCCAAGCAGGATTCGAAAAAAGGGATTTGGATCAATCAAATAAGATTGCGTGAATGAATTGATGAAGGAAATCAAAGTACTTGCTTTGCCTCTTAGATACTACAAATCACCAGTCTCTCCAAGCTTTGATTTTCCAGCTGCAAAGAGAGTAAAAGGCCCATAGGAATATGAAGATTAATAAGAAATTATCTAAGTGAAAGTTCAGCTGTAAAACATACAAATTTAATTACTACCAGCTTTGGCATTCAGCATTACACTACCATCTCCCTAACTGATCACTCTTTCTTCAGCCTCACATGCCTGCCAGATAGCTTGCTTTCATCAGCAAATTGTTCTTCAAACATCTTTCTTTTTTTCAAGTCACCCTCCACATTGAACACTTGTGGTAGGGGCCGGCCTCACGGCCAAGAGGTTAAGTACGCGTGCTCCGCTTCGGTGGCCCAAGGTTTCTCAGGTTCAGATCCTGGGCGCAGACATGACACCACTCATCAAGACATGTTGTGGTGGCATCCCACATAACACAACCAGAGGGACCTACAACCAAGAATATGCAAGTATGTACTGAGGGGCTTTGGGAAGAAGAAAGAAGGAGAAGGAGAAGGAGAGGGAGAGGGAGAGGGAGAGGGAGAGGGAGGAGGAGAAGGAGAGGGAGAGGGAGAGGGAGAGGGAGGAGGGAGGAGGAGGAGGAGGAGAGGGAGAAGGAGAGGGAGAGGGAGAAGGAGGAGGGAGGAGGGAGAGGGAGAAGGAGAAGGAGAGGGAGAGGGAGAGGGGGAGGGGGAGGGAGAAGGAGATTGGCAACAGATGTTAACTCAGGTGCCAATCTTTAAAATAAAATTAAAAAATAAAAACCTTTGGCAGCTCCCCTTTGCCTACTCATTTAAGTCTAAACTCAACCCACAAGAACTTTCAAGGACCTGGCTGCAACCCCCTCTGTTCTTCATGAAACCTATGACAGACAGCTTGGGGGGAAAGGGGGTATCTAAGGCCAATTTGTGTCAGGTACACCAGCCACTAGGGGTTAAGGTTCCAGGGTCAAGCTATATTAGGCAAAGGTTTACTTAGAGAAGTCAGATGCAACATCACAAAGGGGCAAGTTCAACAGATCAGGCAGAGAACCAGAAGTCAGAACTGTAGAAGCAGCAGCAGCAGCAAATTCAGGGGCGAGGCAAAGACACAAGCCATGTGTTTTAATCAGGATGGGCTCAGTTATGCTGCCCTAACAAGCAATGTTCAAACTTGAGCAGCTTAACACAACAGAGGTTTATCACTTGCTAATGCAAAGTTGGCTGCAGGTCTGGATGACTCTGCAAGGTAACTGTCTTCCATGGAATAATTTCACCATGAGGCCTTCTTGGCTGCAGAAGAGATGATACATCTGGAGGATTGCTCGGGCTTTTCTTTGCTTCTGCCTGGAAGTGAAATATGTCACTTTTGCTCACAGCCCATTGTCCGCAACTAGTCAAATGATCTTGCCTAAGTGCAAAAGGGCTGTTAAATGTGGGTGTGGTAGGTAGAATCCAAAGATGCTGCCCACAATCCCTCCCCTCCCTATACACATGACTCATTCCTCCCATCAAGAAGCACAGCCCATTTCCCTCCTCCCTCATCTGGGCTGGCAGTGTGACCTCCTTTGACCAATAGAATGTAGCAGAAATGAGGTGGGTGTAGCCTAGCCCTTAAGAAGTGGCACCTTCTGTTTTTGTTCTCTTGGAACCCAGCCTCCACCTATAAGGAGGTCCAAGCTATCCTGCTGGAGAGACAGAGGGGCCGTGTGATGAGGCCCTGCAGGGTGAGATACCACATGGAGAGAGAGGCACGTGGCAGAGAATTAAGGAGCCCCTGCAGAGCTTCCAGCTGGAGGAAGCTGCATAAGTGACCCAGGTTGGCAATATTCGCTGCTCAGTCAACACATAGAATCCAGAGAAATAACCCAAATGTCCACCAACTGATGAATGGATAAATAAAATATGGCAAATCCATAAAATGGAATATTACTTGGTGATAAAAAGGAATTAATTACTGATACATGCTACAAAATGGATGAACCATTTATATGAAATGTCCAGAATAGACGAATCTATAGAGACAGAAAGTAGATTAGTGGTGGCCTGGGGCTGAGGGGGTTAGGGGGAAATGGGGTATGACTGCAATTGACATGGGGTTTCTTTGAGGTGATGAAAATGTTCTAAATTGATTGTGGTGATCGTTACACAACTCAGTGAATATACTAAAAACCATCTAATTGTACACTTTAAATGGATGAATTGTATGCTATATGAACTATATCCCAATAAAACCATTTAAAAAATCTAGGGGGCCAGCCTTGTGGCCTAGTGGTTAAGTTCAGCACACTCCGCTTTGGTTGCCCAGGTTCGGTTCCTGGGTGCAGACCTACACCACTCATCAGTGGCCATGCTGTGGTGGTGACCCACATGCAACCTAGAGGAAAGCTGGCACAGATGTTAGCTCAGGGTGAATCGTTCTCAACAACAACCACAAAAAATCTGGGTAATTGATATACCCTCAGAACTCTTAACGCAAATTATCCAAAACCTGAAAATAAGGTAAAAGGATGACTGCATGTCCTTTCAATGTCACACAGAAACATGGTCTAAGATGCTTACCCAAGGGTTATCTAACTCTCTAGTTCTGGGCTAATACTGTAACCAGGAGTCATGGGTGTCTGCTGAGCACTCGAAATATGGCTAGCACAAACAAATATTTAATTTTTATTAATTTAAATTTAAAAATTGATCTTCTTTTGTTCCTGGGAAAAGTTTTAAGTATGTTTGGAACAACTTTTTCAACTGTAAATTTTATGAAATCTAAATGCAGATGAATAATTTCTGATGAAAATTTAGCATGCAAACTGAGCCAAGCGGTGAATACTAACGACACACTGAATTCTTTTTTTAAGATTTTATTTTTTCCTTTTTCTCCCCAAAGCCTCCCAGTGCATAGCTGCATATTTTTAGTTGTGGGTCCTTCTAGTTGTGGCATGTGGGGTGCTGCCCCAGCATGGCCTGATGAGCGGTGGGATGTCCGCGCCCAGGATCCAAACCAGTGAAACGCTGGGCCGCCAAAGCAGAGTGCACGGACTTAACCACTAGACCACGGTCCCAGCCGCTAGACATTGAATTGTGAAGACTTAGAAGAAAAAAATTTTTATATCAACTACACGTTGAAATTATAATATGATGGTTACACACATACACACATATATTAAAGTTAATTTCACCTGTTTTTTTTTAAATTTTTTTAGCATCATGCTTCTATTGGACAGTGCTGCTCTATGGTACATAACTTGTTTGATTTGCTATTTAGTTTTAATTAGGGACTGAAGGGGCAGAAAGATTTTCCTTTCTTCCCTTCTAGGTTTTTTAGCTGGTCCAATAATTAAATTGATATAAGACAGATTGACAGGAGAAAAATTAATTTCATACATTTGGGAGCCCCATAAAAATATGAGACCCAAGGGCAGCCAGGTAACTGAGGCTTGTACCAACCTGAGCTAAGGAAAGGGGCAGGAGTCTGGAGAAACCGAGGGGAGAACAGCCATTCACAGGAAGGGGAGGAGATGTTTAGAAACCAAAGGTTGCCGTGTTATGCAGGAAAGTTTCTTAGGTAAAAAGGTATCTCTGCTAATAGCTCTCTTCCTTTCCAATGTAACTTTAGGCACTTGGCGGGGGGGGGGGGGGGGGGGGGGGGGGGGGGGGGGCGCGTGGGGGAGGGGGACGACAGAGCTTTTCCTGAATCTGCTGGGTTTTGATTGCCTTTAGCTCAAAATAATCCTCATGCCAAAGTGGCATATTTTGGGGTGACAAATTCTGCTCCCCTTCAGACCCAAACTCTGAAGTTACACGTTAACTTGTAAATTTTGGCCCAGTAGAAACACGGATGATTGAAGACCAGCCCAAAGTTTTGTTGCCCTGTTTGTCTCTAACTTAGTTGACTTATTCCAGCGTGCCCTTCCTCGCTCCATAAATCCATGCTGAAAATGCTCTTTGAATCGGCGTTGCTATCCATGAAGTCCCTCATTCGTGGGTCAAATAAACCACGGACACGTGCTCACTTTACAGTTGGCCGAGTCATGTTTTCAGCACGTTTTATATTACATTTTGACAGACCCCACTGGCACAGCCCTACATAATCAGCTCACTTCTTTAATATAAAAATTATGATATAAATATGTAGTGGGCCCTCCATATCCGTAGGTTCCACGTCCTCAGTTACAACCAAGCCCAGATGAAAGGCCTACAGTGGTTGTGTT